GGTGTGGTGTCCCTGCACCTGTCTCCCGGCCAGCTCACCCTCAGCAGTGCCGCACTCTGTTTCTAAACCTCCGTGGCTGCCTCTGACTGTGATGGCGCATGGGGCTGCTCTGCCCTGCTGCTTCCACAGTGGGGCAGGTGCCCAGTCAGCCCCTTCCACCGCCGGCCAGCAGGCTCCCCCAGCTGCAGGGGCTCGTGCTCTAGCTAAGGGGGGCCCACTCCCCAAGGAGGGGACACAACTTAGAAGCACCTCATCTTGCCTGTGGGTACAGAGAGTGAGCTTTCTCACCTCAACCGGCCCCACCCCCAGCCCCCCACAGGTTTGGAGGAGAGAAGGGGAGCTAATGGGCTGCTGCTTGGAGAGGAAGCTGAGGTCTCATGGTCCCTCTTGGCTTGATGGGGCTCTGACACAAGGGATGCACGACACTGCCGCTGCCCAGAACGAGTGACCTCAAAGCCATCCTTGCAGATATATGCTCTTTCATATGAATGAATGTGGGACCAATAAATGACTTTGTAAGACCACTCTAATCCCTAGCAGGTATGGCTCAGTGGATTGAGCGCTGGCCTGCAAGCCACAGGGCTGCTGGTTTGAGTCCCAGTGTAGGGCACATGCCTGGGTTGCAGGCCAGATGCCCAGCAGGGGGCACATGAGATGCAACCACACATTGATGTTTCTCTCCCTCTCTTTTTCTCCTCCCTTCCCCTTTCTAAAAATAAATAAATCTTAAAAAAAGACCACTTTAAAGTCCTAACAAAATTTTGTATCACACTGAAAGCAATTCATTTCCCTGTGTCATTTCCAACTTTCTCCCATGCCATGCGGCTAGGAAGACCGACCTTTTGGCTTCTGTTGTCCAACATATACATACATGTGGCTGATTCTACCTGCTTCATTTTTCAAATCCAGTTAAGCTGACTCAAACTACATTTTAAAGTCATAGTGATTTTTTCCTTTTTCTGGCACCAATCCAATCAGGTATTCTTAGATTCACATAGCTTGCAATATTCTTAGGATATTTGGCCTCTGATACCACACCTTTAGTAAAATTTCTGATATCACACCTGCTAATAGAACATCTCTTTATAGTAATGAGATTCTTTGAAGAGATGTGGCATGTAATTTATTTACACTTATCCTTCAAAGGAAGGGAAGAGTGGGAATCTTATCCAAACAGCTAGGAAATGCTGAAACCCCAGAGAGCAAAGGAGCTGCACTTAGATAACAGCGCCTCCCAGACCCACAATAGACTCCCAGCTCGGAGCAAGGCTGCCTTGGACAGGACACCCTCCTTGGGAACACATTGCTGTTATGAGCTGGGCGAGGGTTGGAAGAAAGGGGACATGAAAGGGGCTGGTGGGGGCGGGCTGGGAGAGGCCCAGGAGCAGCGGGGACGGCCTAGGAGCCCTGGGGGGTTTCCTGGGTGGGGCCGAGGGTGCAGAGGGCCAGCCCAGGAGTAAATGCCCAGAAATTAGGAAGGAGGAAAGGACGCCCACCAGTCCGAGGGTCTTCACCGCCCCAGGCCCTGTGGTTGCAGACAGTTATCTGCCACACCCCCAAGGAGCAACTCTTTTATGGATGCCATCCGCTGTGAGGTTCAGGAGGGTTTGCTGGCTGGCCTGGGGTCACACAGCAGGCAACCACAACCACACGCTGCGTTGGTGTTCTCTAGCTGAAGGCCTGTGTGCTCCAAAGCTTGGTCACAGAAAATTACTGGTTTGGGGGGAGAAAAATGAGTTGGTGCTCAGATATTTCAAGGCAAATATATTTAGAAAAAGGCTTCCAGAATTTAAATTTTTAAAAAACCAGCTTTAGTGTGTATATCTTACATACGCACATAATTAAATTTTGCCAATTTTAAGCCCACAGATCTGAGCTGGACGAATGCACGCAGTCAGGCAACCACCACCACAGTCAAAATATACAGCACCCCAACACCCTTTGCAACCTATCCCGCCCCGCGCCCGGCTGGGGAGGGGCAGGGGAGGCCCGGGGGTAAGGGAGGGTGGAGGAGGAGCTGATGTCCAGGCTCTAAAGGCAGGCTCCACCTGTCCCTCCTGCATACCCCGAAGAGAGGGCTCATCATCTCCTTTCGCCCTGCGTGGACCCTGCAGTCCAGATGGCGGGTGGCTGTCTCAGGGGCACAGAGTCAGACTGCAGCAGGACCAGTCCGGACCCCAGACATCCTAGTTACAAACCTGAGCTTTTTCTCCTCACCTGGGCAAAGGGGATGGTAAGTGCTGCCCCCTCCTGGAGGTTCTCTCTCGTTTATGTGGCCACACTGGCTCCTCCCCTCTGTCCAGGGGGAGCCTGGTTTTGGGGGTTCTTCAGAACGGTCCTAGCTCAAGGCCAACTGAACCTGGCAGAGACAGCTCAGGCCCTGTGACTGGACTCTTCCCAACTTGCCCTTCCCAGTGTCCCTGTCCCCATACCTATCCCCAGGTCCCGTGGTCCCCAGCAATGATCAGATAGGCTCAAGTGTAGGGAGGCCCAGGAAGTGTCAGGCCAGGGCCCGATGACCGAGTGGGTTAGGTGCCTTAGGGATGGCCTGTGACTTTCCTGGCCCCCACCCCCAGCGTTCTGCCCGCTCCAAATCACAGGTCAGATGGGAGAATCCTCTCAGATGCAGAGAAACAGAGGCGCAGGGGCGGGTTGCCTGAGATGCACCAGGACGGAGCTTCTTGGGGCACAGGCTCGTCAGCATCTTCCTGCCAGCACCGGGCCCAGAGCCTCAGCTCAAAAGTGCATGTGCCACCGTTGCTCTGATGATGAACGGGAGCGACATGGGTACCACTTCTGTGTGCAGGGCCTGTGCTAAACCTGTGAGGGCCACGCACCTGGAGGTGCCCCTCGGGGAAGGGGGTACACCCTTTCTGCCCAGCTTGGGGATGTGCGGTTGAAGTCCAGGCCAGCTGTCCCAGGCCCCAGGAGGTCGGATTGTCCCTAGTGAGAGGGTAGGGGCAGGTCGGGAGAGACGCAGGTCCTCTGCCTCCTGGACCCCTGTGCCTTCCCTCATCCCACAGGAGGGGACTTCAGAGCCTACAACTCTATTAGGTCAATATGCCTCCAGCATTGAGACCCCTCATCCCATGTGCACCCCAGGACATGGTTTCCGGCAGGGCTCTCACACGCAGGGTTCCAGGCCTGCTGTCGGGCAAGAAATTCTGACCACCAACCTCGCGGTCCCCTAGGCGATTGATTCCTTCCTGGGCTCCTTTTCCAGGTGAACACAGGGAGGGTGTCGTGCCCCGCAGTGCCTCCCTCTCCTGGCCCTGGGGGGACGGGTCACCTGCAGCCCAGTGAACGTGGGCCCACTCAGGAGCACCCCAGGAGGCACAGAGGGAGGGTTGTCCCCCTCATGGGCCCAGCAGAAGGCCAGCTTGGCCCTGATAAGCGAACCCTCACTCTTCTCTGTCACTTGCCACTGGCTGCTGGCCGAGTTCCCGGAGAGCCCAGGACCAGATAAGGGGAGGCCGGGTACCCAGCCTCCTCCCTGGGCTTCTCTGGACCGGGCGGTCTCAGCCCCAGGTCCTGCCCATCTGTCTTGCCCGCCTTCCACCCCCCCACCAGAAGAGGCCGGTGGCTCCTTGTCCCTCCGTGTCCTCCAGCACAGCCTGCACTTAGGAAAGTGTAGATGTGCCTGTATAAGGCTGGCAAGCCAAGGAGGTCGCCCCACCGACGGCAGGGGCAACCGCGAGAGTGCGGGAGGGGCGGGCGGGAGGAAGAAGGGAGCTGTCCGGTTCATTTCTGTCTTCCGCGTTCTAGGAAGAGCGTGTATTCTGGCTGCAAAGCAATGAAAGACGCAAGGAAAAGGAGGAGGGTTGGCGGGAGGGCCGCAAGGCAAACGAGGAGGGAAGCCCGTCACGGCTCCCACAGCAGCGAGGGCTCAGGAGAGTAGGGGCAGAGGCCCTTCCCACTCAGATCCGCAAAGCCTGCACCGTGGGGAGTGGGGTCGCCGGCCTTCGGGAGCCCGAGTCCAGGAGACGACCTGGAACGCACCGCCGCGCGGTGCGGAGGACCGAAGACCGGCAGGCGTCCTGACGCGAGCGGTGGCCGGGAAGCTCACCCAGTGACCAGAACCTCCGAGAGGGTGGGAGCGCTGGGCGTGGGCCTGAGGGCGCCGCCCCGGATGCTGCAGGTGGACAGTTGTCCCCTTTCCTGCCAAGGGGAAGGGCTTCGATTGTGAAAGGGGCTCCCCACATCAAAAACCATAAAAATGCTCATTGAAACGTGAATGAGGCGCCACCCCCACCTCCAGAAGGGCGGATTGGAGAGGGCGTCGGGGCAGGGCCCCGTGGCTGCGGCGAGTGTGAGACACATCGGGCTTCTCGGAAACGGAGGGTGCGCGGAGCCCGGGCCTCAGCCCCTCGCCGGTACGGGCCACGGACCCCCCGGGCGCGCGCAGTCACGGGAAAATGTCACCGCGTGGCGTTCGGGGAGTCAAAAGCGCTGCAATCGATCAGTCGCATCAATGTGAACACGGGACAGACGCACGGCTTCCACACGTCCGTGCACGCTGTGTCCTGAGAGAGAGAGGCTGGGGGACCGTGCTGTGGAGGGCACTGCGTGGCCGGAGGGACTCAGGGTGCGGGGACAAGGCTATACATATCGTGACCCCATGGCTGGGTGCCTGGGTGCCCCTGGAGTTACCTCGGAAACGTTCTGTGTTGCTTTCCGTGTCCTGGATACACGTGGCTGCTCACCGAAGAGACACGAGCCCCGCGCACCGGGGCGCGGGCAGGGGCTGTTGCCCACAGCATCGCCCAGCGCTCAGGGTCCAGGGGACCCCGCAGCGACAGGCAGTGGCTGTGCAGGCTGCCCTGGACCCCTTCCCCTCCGCCACCAGTGGCGCCCACGACTAGAAACACGGCCACAGCCACGTGTGCTCTCCATGCACTTTAATGAGGATCAGCGCCCACCACCGGCTCCGCGGGCTGAGGGTGGGGAAGGCGCAAGGAACTGGGAAGGGGGTGAAGGGGACACCTGGAGGGGCGGGAAGCAGTGGCCTGGGGCCAGGAGGGGGCTGGGTCCTCCGCAGCCCCCGAGGGCAGCCCCGGGGACGGCTCAGCGCTCCTCGGGGACGTACTGGCGGATCCAGTCCAGGTAGTGGGTGACCCGGGTGTAGATGCCGGGCCTGTGGGGCATGGCGCAGCCGTCGCCCCAGCTGACCACGCCCGCCTGCAGCCAGGTGCCGTTGACCTTGCAGACCAGGGGCCCCCCGGAGTCGCCCTGGGGAGGAGAGGGGTCAGCAGTTGCTGGAGACGCTGGGGTGGGGAGGGCTCTGGGGAGGACACGGGCCCACCTGGCAGGAGTCCTTTTTCCTGTTCCCGGCACAAATCATGTCGTCCTGGACAATCTGGACGTTGTCCCCCGTGTACAGGCCAGTGTGGTATTCCGTGTCACAAATGCTGTTTTCCACGATGGGGACCTTGACCTGCTGCAGGGGGTATGGCGGCGGGAGGGGTTCTGGGGGCGAGAGGAGAGCATTCCGCATCAGCAGCGCTCCATCACTGCCCCGAGCCAAGAGCCGGGACCCCGTCCCCGAAGGGAACCCAGGAGCTGGGTCGTGGACGTGAGCAGCCCCTACTCCCCCAAGCCCTCCAGTGTCCCCAGCGCTCGCCTTCATTGTTCAGGTCACCCCAGCCTGTCACCCAGCACGAGGTCCCTGGGGGGAAGGTCTCCGAGGCAGAGGGCAGAGCGACCAGCTGGACGTGGCTGGAAAGGCTCACGGGCTCCTCAAGCTCCAGCAGGGCGATGTCCGCCCCGTTCTGAACCGTGTAGTAGTTGGGGTGTGGGAGGATCCGGTTGACGGTCAGCAGCTTGTCCCGGTAATAGAGGTGCTGCTCCCGCAGCTGCACCCTCAGTTCTGCAGGATCTATGAGTTTCCTGGAGAGAGCGGGCACCTACTCGGAGGCTGAGCAGCCTCCCGGGCGCCCGGGAGGGAGGGTGCAGCCCCAGCCCCACTGCCCACCCACCGGGCCCCATGGACACTCACGGCCCAAGGCAGTGCGCGGCGGTCAGCACCCACTGCCGGTGGATGAGGGAGCCCCCGCAGATGTGCTTCCAGTACTGATGTTTCTGCCTCAGGCTCACCTGCCAGGGCCATTTGCTCCCAGGGGCCTCCTGCCCCCCGACGATGCCCACTCTCTGTAGGGCCTGGCTTGGGGCTGGGGCAGAAAGCACCCTCAGGGCAGGACACAGCTTGGCCCCTGTGCCCACAGGAACCTGGGCTTCTGCGAACACACCCACCCACAGTGGGGCCTGTGGGGTGCGGGCTGAGGGGCAGGGACAGGGCGGGCCCGGGTCAGGACTCACCAGGGGCCGCGTGGACCAGGCCCGGCAGGAGGGGCAGTGCCAGCACCAGCAGATTCAGCATCTGCAGGGGGCAAGGAGGGGCTGTAGGGCCCAGCCGGGGGGCTGGGCCGGGCCGGGGTCTGCAGGGTACGGGGTGCGATGGAGGCGAGGACCCCGGGATCAGGGATCAGTCGGTTCAGGCCTGGAGTCGGAGGTCTTGCTGCTCGGGACCTGAGGCTCAGCCCCGCAGCGCACTGACGCCCCGGTGTGGGGGTTTGGCAGGGCGTGCTTACCTTGGCTGCTGCCTGGTGCTGCTGTGCAGCCCGCTCTCCCCTCCCCATTTATCCTTCCAGGCCAGGAGGGGGGTCAGAGGTGCCGCCCTTTAATCAAGAGTGGAGGAGGCGGGTGATTCAGACTCAGGGTCCTACTGCTGCCATCCAGATTCCTTGCGTGGTCCAACAACGTCTATGCTTGGTATTATCTGACCAGTTTTGCCGACAACAGCGGTACCTTGCTATCTTGGGATCTGAATGCCCTCCGCAGAAGGGAAGCAGATGGAAGTGACGGTGAGATAACAAGCAGGATGTGCCAGCTCTTGGCCCACCCCTCCACTGTCCGCGCGGCTCCTCCTGTAGCCTCGGGGAGCCTCAGCCTGCTCCCTGCCCTGCCCAGACACCAGCTTGGCTCTAGGGCCCAGCCACCTATCTCAGGTGACCAAGGCGGTCCTGTTCCTCTCCAGATTTTGGGTCAGCTGTTTGCCTTGTGACCTTAGTTCTCTGATGGGGTCAAGAAAATGTAGTGATTTGTAGTTTGTCCAGGGGTATGAGTGATGTTTTTTACAGCTGTCTGCATCTCTCAGGTGACCCAGGTCTTGTATATATGAGATCGGGCCCAGGCTCTGATTTTTCCATAGAAGTATCTAGTGTTTCAGCACATTTGTTGAAAGATCACCCTTTACCTACTGAGGGGTGAAGGGACAGGGACATTGGGAGGGCAGGTTGGCACAGGGACTCTGGTCACGGGGTCTATCTGAGCTGTTGGTGGGGCTCTGTTGGGCCTGGAACTGTATTTCTTTATTTCTCAGAACTCAGTGGACTTCGTGTAGGTCTACTCCTGGACTCCCGCTTCAGTTCCATTGATCTCAATTTATCCTTATAACTATAGCGCACTGTGTTGATTAACTTGCTGAGAATTCTGTTGAATTGAAATGGGTGTTGAATTTTGTAAAATTCTTTTTCTGCATCTAAGCATATGACAATAGCTTCTCCTTTTTAGTTTGTTAATATGGTGAATTACATCGATTGATGTTCACGCGTTAAACCAACTTTGCATTCCTGGAATGAGTTATACTTGACCAGCATGAGTCATCCTTTCTGTATTCAGAGGAACTCAATTTGCTAAAACTAGATTAAGGATTTTGATGTCTCTTTGTAGGAGGGACACTGGTCTGTAGCTTTTTCTTATAATGTCTTTGATTTTCTTATCCAAACTTCTCTTGGTCATATTGTATCCTCTAGATGCCTTACAAATTTCTCAATTCAATTTGTTAATATTTTGTTGAGGATTCTTGTGTCTGTGTTGATGAGGGATATTGGTCTGTAGTTTCCTTTTTTGTAATGTCTTTGACTAATTTTGGTATCAGGGTCATCCTGACCTTACAAAAAGATGTGCTCCCTCCCCTTCTATTTTTTGGAATAGATTATGTAGATTTGGTATTATTTCTTTCTTAAATGTTTGATAAATTTACCAGGAAAACTATCTGAGTTTGAAACTACCAGAAACTCAGTGGTATGACACATTTATTTTCTTATGGTTCTTACTTAGATCAGAGGTGCAACGTGGGTCTCATGGGGCAAAACTCCGTGTGTGGGCAGGACTGCGTTCCTCCCGGAGGCTCCAGGGGAAGATCAGTTTCCTGGCCTTTTCCAGCTCCTAGAGGCCCCTGATTCCCAGGTCTTGGCCTGTCTTCCATCTTCAAAAGTAACGTTGAGCATCTCTCTGGGCTTCCATCCACACGTCTCCTGACCACAGCTGGGAAAGATTCTGTGATTTTAAGTACCCCTATGAGGACATTGGGTCCACCTGGTAACCAGGAAACTCTCCCATCTCAAAGCTATCCCCTTAGTCACGTCTGCAATAGCACTTTGCTCCCTGAGCTCCACAATCACCGGTGCAGAGGGTTAGAATGAGGATGTCTTGGATGGGCCAGCCTGCCTCCCACATGCGTAACAGGCTGCAGGTGGGGCGAGGGGGATACCAATGCTAGAGGCTAATATAGGTGGGACAGGTGGAGGCCCTAAACTCCCTTCCTGTGGGGACCCAGGGGTGGCACTAGATGGTCCAGGAGGCAGGTGGCCTGTGTTCCTGCAGACCCGCCCCTGTCCCCCCAGACTAGGCAACATCAGGCCTCCAGGGCCTGGACAGTTGGTGCAATTGTCACCCTTATTCATCATCAGGGCAAATGTGGAACACCCATTTTTGAGCTGAAACTCTTGGCCAAGTGTTGGTGGGAAGGAGACAAGTCTGTACCCCAAGAAGCCTCGTCCTGGTGGATCTCCAGGCAAACCCCTGCGCATGTCTCAGTTTCCCATATCTAGGAGGGGATCACTGACTTAGAGGGACTCTCCCACTCAGCCTGTGATTAGAAGCGAAGAGGTCAGCAAAGTTCTGACCCCTCCCAGGGCCCCCTAATGACTTGGTCATCAGGTTCTGACAAGACAGAGGACGGTTAGGATGGGCTTCCCCAGGCCGGCAGCTGGTGCTAAGCTTGTCTGATCTGTGGTAGAGACCGCAGGACCCGGCAGGGGGGCAGTGAGGGGACAGGGACATTGGGAGGGCAGGTTGGCACAGAGACTCCAGTCACAGGGTCTGAGCTGTCTGCCGGGCTCAGCTGGGCCTGGAACTGTATTTCTGTGTTTCCTTTTTTTAAATATACTTTTAATTTCAGAAAAAAAATTTTCTCTATTATTACCATCTCACCATGGTATGATTTATTCATTATAATTAATGACCCAATACAATACACTTTATTAATTAAAATCCCTGATTTATTAGAATGTGCTTATTTTTCCCCCGATGTCCTTTTCCTGTCAAAGGATCCTATCCAGGCCCCACATGACATCTAATTGTCTGATCTCCTTGGATTCTTCTGGGCTGTGACAGTTTTTTAGACTCCAGGCTCATGTTGTACCTTTCTCACCCCAGTCCTAGAATCAGCTCTTCCTCCCAGGACCCTGCTTCCTTTTTATGGAGATGCTGTTAGAAACCCTAGTCTGGGCACTGGTGAGCTGGTTGCTCTTGGGGTGTCCTTGCCTCTAGGCCCTCAGCTGACAGGACAAGCAAATGTGTGTCACTAACTGGTGTACAGACACATACGTGTAATAAACACCTTCATATGCGGCCACCTGTAACTTCAAACTTGCGCCTCCAGTTCTCGTCCCTCACCACAGGGGTCTCCCTGGCCTCCTCCCCTGCTAGTCTGCAACCTGCCCCCCGGCAGGCAGGGCCCAGCTCCCGCCACTCTCCAGCCATTCCCTTCACTGCTCACTTCCGGCGTCGCTATCGGATCGTCCCCCTGTACCGCTGTGGGGATTAACTCTGTCAGCGCATCATGCTCTGTGCTCTCCCTGTGTTTTCAGTCTTGTAATTGCCACTCATTCCCAACGTGATTTAGGTTGGCCCCTTTTCTCCGCACCCCCTCCAGGGAGCTTGTTTCACACCTTTGTAATACAGGTAGATATTTTGTCACCTTCTGTGTTTGTGTTTCTTTCTACTGCCAGGTGGTGTCCTATTGCAGGAACGGGCCACGGCATGTTTCTCCATTCACCTGTTGGTGGACTTCCGGTTGTTTCCTGCTTGGGCTGTTGTATATAAAGCTGCTGGATGCATTACTGTTTGAGTCTTTTTGTGGAGGTCTCTCTTTGAGCATTTCCTTGTACAAGGCTATTCCCAGCCCTTCTACTTTCCAGCTTCAGTCGCTTCTTCAGGGGATCCAGCCCCTCTTAGGGGCAAACGGTACTTAGATCCAAGATACAGGAGAAGGTGCTGCTGATCGCTCTTGGATGGAGCCAGAGAGTGTGTGTATGTGCACACGTGCACTCACATACACACACACGGCACACATGTGGCAGACACAAGTGCATGTGTGTACGCACAGAGCACAAGTGTGCACATAGACACATACATATGAACATGTGTGCGTGTGCATACACACATGTGTGCCTACACCACATCTATATTTCTATATCTATATTGAAATGTGAGCCTTCCCCAATCCCAAACCACAGTTTATTCCAGTGTCTCTCTCTTCATATTGGCCTGTCTGCTCTGTCATGTAAGGCAGATCTGGTTCCTGTCCTTAATTCATTGAATTTTTGGTCAGTCCCCCCTAGAGGACTCTGACCCCGACCTGGGCGAGCATAATCCCCAGCACCACTCCCCAACCAGAAGCATACCTGACCTGCCCCACTCCAGGCTTGGACTGCTCCCGTCAGAAGGAAAGGGAGGGGGAGGTAGAAGAATGGAAAGAACCTGAAACATTCTAGCCGAGGGGGTCCCTAAACCCGGGGCCACAGACTGGGAGAGGTCCGTGGGCTGTAAGGAACCGGGCTGCACAGGAGGAGGTGAGCAGCAGGCGAGCAGGCTGAAGCTTCATCTCTGTGTGCAGCCGCTGCCCATCGCTCGCATTACTGCCTGAGCTCTGCTTCCTGTCAGATCAGTGGTAGCCACTACATTCTCATAGGAGCACAAACACTACTGTGAGCTGCGCTCGTGTGAGGGATCTAGGTGCTGCTCCTTCTGAGACTCTAATGCCTGATGACCTGAGGTGGAGCGGGGGCGGTGATGCTAGCCCGGGGAGCGGCTGCCAATGCAGATTATCGTTAGCAGAGATGTTTGACTGTACAGAGACCATTATTTACTTGCAGACTCATGTCAAAACCCTATCAGTGAATGACAAGTGACAATTAAGCTGCATCTGGGTGGCAGGCTATAAAGCCATCCTCCCCGCCCTGGTCCACGGAAAAATTGCCTTCCATGAAACCGGTCCCTGGTGCCAAAAATTTTGGGGAACGTTGTTCTAGCCATGCCAGTGGGTATGTAGCGGTGTCCCTTCTATCCTGCAGTTTCCTGATGAGTAAGTAGGAACAGCATTTTGTCATATGCTTCTTCATCATTTGAACAGCTTCTCTGATAAACCGTCAGCACAAACTCATTGTCCACTTTTTAATGAGGTTGGGTGTCTTAGTGAGCTGTAAGGGTTTCTTCTCTTTTCTTCCCTCCCTCCTTCCCCTCCTTCTGTCCATCCTAAGTTTGGATATAAGTCCTTTGCCAGATATATGTATTGCAAATATTTTTCTTTCAGCCCGTGGATTGTACCTTTATTATCTTAACAGTGTCCCTCAGGGTGTAAGTTTTAAATTCCGACAACGTCCCATTTATCAATTTTTGAGTCCCCTCTGTCTTCCTCCAG